GGGCAGCGAGCGCCGGAACGAAATGGGTCGGGGCGAGGTAGGGGGGCCGAGGGGGATGGTGGAGGGGATCGAGGAGAGTGAATGGGGGGGTAGGATGAGGTGTAGATGATAGAGGAGGATGGGAGGTCATTATATAGCCTCCCTTCTGCTTCTTCCACCGTTTCCTCCACCGTCATCCGTCCCTTACTTGGCCCGTCTCAATTTTCCCCGATCCTCTACCTCATCTTGCCCCCATCCTGCCCATCGGTTCTATACATCACACTCTACCTCATCTTCCTAGATGCTCTACCCCATCCTGCCCCCAGGCCTTCCCGTCGCCCCCCTCCGCCCTGATGCAATATCGGCTGCAGGCCGTCGCCAGGATGCGCGACCTCATCCACAACAAGATGTGCGATCTGCGCGACCCGCCCCCGCCAGGTGTAGCCTTTTTCTAGGGGTCGGCAGCGCGTCGGGACGTCATCGAAGCCGCCTTGATGATGTCGGCGGGGGGGGGGGGGCTAGTTCTGGGTCGGGGGCTTGGGCGGTTCGTGCCCCCCCAGGTGTTCGGGCTCGCGACGTTGCGAATGCCGCCGCCCGCGCCCGTCCCCCCTCTCATATAGTTCATCATCGCCCCTCCTTATCCTCCCTCTCGCTCTCGCCCGCTCCCAATTACACCCCTCGCCCTGCCGCGCGCCCGCCGCCCGCGTCGCCCCCCCCCCCCCCCGCGCGCGCGCACAGGCAAGGATATCATGGACAATTATTCGTCGGCTGCGGCGTATGTGGCGCTGGCGCGCAACCGCAGCAAGGTCGCGCCCCTCCTCTCGAAGCAGGAGCGCAAGGAGGCCTTGCGCGGGCGCTCCAAGACCCAGGCGGCGGAGTTCTTGCAGAGCGACGCGGCGAAGGCCGTCGGCGAGGTGCAGGTTGGCGCGGCTTTGCTCCAAGCCGCCCGCCGCGTGCGGCAGAGGGGGGCGGGGCCCGCGGCCGCTGCGGCGAGCGGCGCCGCTGGCGCTGCTGACAACTAGGTCGAGGCTTCGTTTCGGAGCTTGGGGAGAGGGGCGGTGTCTCTTAGGTTTCAGGCGCAAGGGTGCGTCTCTGGCTCGGATTGTCGACGCCGCCCCTCGCTTGCTGCGCTGCGCGCGGGTTTGCGCGACGCCTGCGCGAGCGCTCGGGTTTGAAGTTCGGCGGGGTCGGGGAACGTGTCTGGCATGTTCGGCCCCTGCGTTGGCGGGGCAAGGGGGGCTCACCCATCTAGGAGATTCGCAGGAGGTCTTGTATCCTGGGTGATTTCGGTGCACGAGGCGTGATTTTTGGTTTTGATGGGGCCCAGTGGAAGTGTTAGTTTTGCCCTGGAACTAAATATTTGGGTTGCCGCATGGGCCGATCGGCCCAGCATGTAGATTTCGACCGTTGGGTTCCCAGATGGTTCATCATTCTGAGTTGTCTGAATGGCAGACGTGCACAGAGTTGGTCTATCTAAGTTGTTTGTTCAGCCCCAGTTCGATGGGTGAGCCGAGTCGAATGCCAGGCACCCCTTGCCGTTGGAGAGGCGCTCGAGCGTCGCGGGCTTGCGCGATGGCCCCGTTCACTGCTCGAGCAGGCCTGGCCTTTTGGCATCGAGAGGGTGAAAAGCGGTCGGGTTGCCCCCTTGCATTGCCGGCGCAATTGCATTGCTTGCTCCAGTCGCAGCCCCCGTGGGCGCCCCGAGGTCCGCGTGTGCCATCTGTATGCACGTTGGGCGCATGTTCGGTGGATCGGGCGGGTCGCCCTCCCTGGATAGTTCGACTTGTACGTTCGTGCACGGTTGTATGTGCATGCAGTTGTTTCGCATTCAGCAATGTTTAAGCAGCCATGCATTCGTGCACGTGTCTTGTGGTATGCACCCGCACGGATGGCAATGCCGATAGTGCGATGGTCTGGCACAAATGATTTGATGCACCAGGGTGACGTTTGTACGAGTGCACGCAGATAGCTAGGTCGTGGGCCCGTTCATGGGGTAGGTTTCTCGATGGCCTGCAGCGTCGGCGTCGGGCGGCCCGCGGGGTGTCGACTAGTGCGGG